CTATTATTGTCGAAAACTATCCAGTAAAAAAACTAAGTAAAACTGTTTTCTATCAAATTAATGGAGTTAATCAAATTAATTATAAAGTAGTAACTCCATTTCCAGTTCAACTTTATTAGATTACTTAAAAGCAAGGTGCGGTTTTTACTTGAAGCTATTGAATATTAATTAATGGCTAGGCGGTCAGCTCTTTTTAGATGGGAAGTAGTGGATAGATGTGCGATATTTCTTGCAATTAACATGTTGTCAGCCTTTTATTGTATTATTTTCTTATATTGTCAAATTCAGTTTTAACTAGCGTAAAGTATTCACCTCGATCACGGTGAATACTTTCATTCCTTATATACCATACCATGGGGCACCAGTGATTGTTCTCAGTATTTTTGACTGAGCTCTTTGGATAATTTCAATATTTGAAGCACTAGCATTGTCAAATAGCTGGATACCACAAGTCCATATTGGTTTTATGATGCTGTTATACAAGAGTACTTCATACTCTGGGCAAAGGGAAGATTTTTTTTTTGTCTTTCTTTTTATTAAAGCAACTAGTAAACATACTTAAGACTAACAAGCATTTTTAGTTTAATAAATTATAAATATTTACGGTAAGGTTTTATTACTTAGTGAGGTCAGAGGGCTTTATACGTTTTAATCTCCGTGCTGAGTCAGTTGAGTTGACTAATTGTAAAACTTCTGCATTTTTATGTTGTGTAATTTTCGTTACGTGAGCAACAGCATACGTTTTTATGACGTCCTTGACGAGTTTGATTGCTAGGTCACGATGTAGGTCTGCACTACAAATATACCAGGGCGCATTTACAATATTTCTAAGTACTTTGTTGTGGAAGCGCTGTATTATCATAACATTGCTCTTACTGGTGCATCCCCATAACTGTTTACCGTAAGTCCATACAGACTTTAAAATTTGATTGTAAATCAGAAGTTTATTTTGTGTCGATAACACTGAACGCCTACCGATTAACCATTTTATCTGATTATACTTTAGCTCAAGTTCTTGTTTTTTCTTTTTCACATGCTCTTTCCAACGTAATTTAGCGTCTAAGGTCATGCCTAAGTATTTCGCTGTATTTGCATAGCGTATTTTCAGTCCATTTATATATAATTTGCATTGGGAGACCCTTTTATTCGTAAAGTCAACATGTACCGATTTTGTATTATTAAGCTTGAGTCGCCATTGTTTCGTCCACTGTTGAACATTATTAATAGCTAGCTGGTGAGTTTTAGTTGATTCCATTTCATTAGAACCAATTGAATTTAGAGCTGTATCATCAGCAAACGTCGCAATTTTACAATTTTCTGTAATTGGGATATCATTAGTAAACAAAAGAAAGAGTATAAGACCAAGGACGTTCCCTGTGGAACACCCGCTTTAGTTTTTTTTAGGTTTGAGTGGCAGTTTTCTTGTTTAACTCGAAAATATCTATTTGTTATATAAGATTCTATAAGATCGCAATATTGTTCTGGCAATTGCATTCGTAATTTTCTCATAAGACCTTGATTCCACACCATGTCAAATGCCTGCGAGATATCAAGGAACACTGCCGAACACACTCCCTTCTTTTCCAAACAGTTTTCTATTGCACTACTAATTCGATGGACTTGTTCAATTGTTAAGTGGCTGGTTCTAAAGCCGAATTGATTGATTGGAATTAGGTTTTGTTTTTCTATCAGATTTGATAGCCGCTTTTTAAATGCTTTTTCAAAAACTTTCGACAAAATGGGTAGCAAGGATATGGGTCTATATGAAGAAACTTCATATGCAGGTTTGCCAGGTTTGGCTATCATTATTACTTCAGCTACTTTCCAAAAGGAGGGTACTTATCTCACTTTGAAACATGTGTTGATAAGAAATGTCAGAACTTAGATGGAATTTTTTGGCAAATTGGGTTTTAGAGACTTAATAATGTCTTTTATTTCCTGAGCAAAAGCTGGAGGTATGCTTAATTCGCTATCTAGTTTGCCTAGAAATGTTTTGAAGGAGTCGTTTTTCAAATTTTTATCCTTTCAGTCAACCTTTTACAGACTTTATTGAGCAGAGATTTATCTCCAGGAGATCTGGTCATTTGCCACTTCCGTCTAAGTTTGGGTTTTTCGGAAGTAATTGCTTGAATTCATTGGGATAGTTGCAGCCAGTAGTAACCTGTTTTATAACGGGAGTACTATTCCAACAAGCTTTATGTACAATTTCTGTAAATTTTTCTATATCGCTTTCTAGTTGGTGTTCATCTTCAATGGCGATAACATGATTTGTCATTAATTGATTCGCAAGTGCTTTAAAAAGCTTCCAAACTGTAAATTTATTAGCCAGAAAATACGGATTCTCTTTTTTTACTATAGAACTGCAAATATTTAAAAAGATTGGAGAATGATCTGAGTTTAGATCAGCTCCATCCTTAATTTCCATAAAGCTTTTAGAAACTTTTCTTGAAATAAAAAAGTTTTTATATTTCTACATTATTCATTCAAGTTATAATAATATTTTCTTGATTTTACTTAATAACAAAAAACTATTAACATACACTACTCAGTTAAAATGATAAACTGTCAAACTTCATAAAATAGTGTTGCTAGTAATGGTTCATAAACAACATTTTTCTCTCCTCCACCGGATTATGGTGTGTAGGGCACTCTAGTTTTCCTTAGTCTTGTCGACCGTCGTACAGCGGGAGTCACGTTGTTCGTCTCAGGCGTACTCTCAGCTATTGGGTGTGGTATTGAATTAAACTCCTCATTTCTTGATGTGTTGGGCGTTTCTATTGCAGAACTGTATAAGGCTGCAATAGAAACCGGATGCGAATTAATTTCAGCAGGAAAACCAACTTACTGGCCGACCGATCCAAATAAATTGCCTGATCTTATAGATTTCTTTCTCACTAAAAAAATATCATCAAATTACATGGAAATCAAACAAGGTTTAAATCTGCACTCCGACCATTCGCCAATATATTTAACTTTAAGTGATACGATCATAACGAAAAATCATGGTCCATACCTAACTAGTAAATCCACAGATTGGAGCCTTTTTAAAGCGTTACTTGAAGACAGTGTAAACCTCTCAACTCCACTGAGCACTTGTAATGAACTTGAAATAGACTATGATCAATTCATGAAGCAAATTCAAAGAGCGGCTTGGAGCAGTACTCCTGAATATAAAAGGAAAAATGTAAAAAAAAATTATGAGTCTAATAAAAGAAAAAAGGAAACTAAGGAAAAGATGGCATCAAACCCGATCTCCTCTAGATAAGAGCAGGCTTAATGAAGCTACTAAACGTTTAAAAGCTGAGATTCGTCTCATCAAAAATGAGTCAGTTAAAAATTATATTTCATCACTTGGAGCTGACAAAAAATCAGAATACTCATTGTGGAAATCGACAAAATACTTAAAGAAACCCATTACCTACACACCAACATTTAAAGACAGCAATGGTAAATGGGCTAGAAGCAATGAGGAAAAAACCGAAGCTTTCGCAAATAACCTGACAAAAATATTTCAGCCTAATGATGTACAGTGTGATGAATTACTGACTGTCACAGAGAGTAGAAATCAGCAAATCGATCGAATAACAAAGCGCGAATTAAAATCAGCAATAAAAGATTTGAAAAATAAAAAGGCGCCTGGCTTTGACCTTATAACATCCGAAGTTTTAAAGCAGTTACCCGATAAAGCTGTTAACAAATTATTAATGCAATTCAATGCAACAATAAATTTAAAATATATTCCTAGCCTATGGAAAATCGCAGAAGTAAAAATGATTCCAAAAGCAGGCAAGCCGCTAGAATGCATATCGTCATATAGACCAATTTCAATTTTACCAACTATTTCGAAGCTCTTTGAAAAGCTATTCTACAAGAGACTAATGCCTATAATAGAATCCGAAAAGCTAATACCAAACCATCAATTTGGTTTTCGTGGTAAGCATTCAACTATAGATCAAGTACACCGCATTGTCGATGAAATTGAAAGGGCTATTGAAGGTAAAAAAGTGTGTTCTGTTGTATTCTTCGATGTCGCACAGGCCTTCGACAAAGTCTGGCACAAAGGTCTTTTGAATAAACTAGAAACATGTTTGCCGTCGTCATATTTTGCGATTTTGAAGTCTTACATTACCTCGAGGTTCTTTTATGTAAAACACGAAAATTGTTATTCAGATCTTTCTGCGATAAAAGCTAGTGTACCTCAGGGCAGTGTACTCAGTCCACTACTGTACCTGCTTTACACAATGGACTTGCCAATAACACCTGAAAATAAAATTGCAACATTTGCAGATGATACTGCTATTTTGGCGATTGCTGACTCCGTTGAAGAATCAATAGCCAAATTACAAACAGCTACAAATTCGTTAGACAATTGGACAAAAAGATGGCGTATCAAACTGAATTCTGCTAAATCTGTTCATGTGGATTTTACAAATAAAAAAATACACTATCTTCCTATTTCGATTCAAGGTACTCAAATACCATATGCCAATACTGCAAAATATCTTGGTATAACGTTGGACGCAAAACTTCGATGGAAAGAACACATAAAAAGAAACGGGACGAGCTTGACATGAAGTTGCGAAAAATGGAATGGCCGCAAATCCACACTATCTATGCAAAACAAGATTCTGCTATATAATCAAATTTTAAAACCTGTATGGTCGTATGGCGCTGAACTATGGGGGAGCGCTAGCCAAAGTAACGTCGAAATAATCCAACGTTTCCAGAACAAGGTTGTACGGAACATTTTAAAAGCGCCATGGTACATTAGGAACAGCGATATACATCGCGATCTAAAAGTGTCCACAGTCGCTGAAGAAATAAAACAGAAAGCAACAAGACACAAACTGAGGTTGCAGCAACATGTCAACATAGAAGCTGTTAACATCATAACAGAGACGATTAAAACGGCGAAATGTCGTTGATATGGCATTGAATTAGAATGTAAAGTAATTTGTGTAGAAAATTGCTTATTTATGTATGTATAGTATTTATCAGATTCAAGCTACTCGTTATTTATAATGTAAATAGTTGAAGAAATAAAAAAAAAAAAAAATTCTCAAATCCCGGACTCCCTTCAATGGTTGCTTCATTGTTTTCTGCTTCAAACGGGTCCTCCGTCTTGTCACCGCTGCTTTCAAACGAATGTTTAGATTCACGATATTCTGTCGCTAGTGTATTTCTAATTGGTTTATTTGCAGCTCTTCGAATTTGATTTACGTGTCTCTTCACTTCCTTTTCATTAAAAAGTATTTCATAGGGAAGATCACCTAAACGTGTATTAATTGTTCTTCTGAGCCATTTATGCGTTCGCGAACTGCCCGATAAGAAGTATACGCTTTGGCGTGGTGCGAACTCCCTACACCCATTACCAGATTGACACTGCAAGTATTGCTTATCTTTCACCTTCTTTGCAATTTCCTCTGGGCGAATGAGATCTATGCGTGTTCGCAGATGTCGTCTCAAAAATAACTGAGCTGGCGAGCACCCCGTAGTTGACTGCGGGGCATTTTTGTATTGCCTTAGGAACTCGTTCAAATTTTTCTTTAAATACTTGCTTGTTGTGCCCATTGTCTTTAGTGCATTTTTGATTGTTTTTACGCTACGCTCCGCCTGACCGTTAGTAGCTGGATGATACGGAGCTAAATATTTATGGTATTTAACACCAACTGTTGTAAGGAAATCGTTAAATTCTACAGAAGTAAAATTCGTTCCATTGTCAGAAACCACCATAAGCGGAACTCCAAAAGCAGCAAATACATCGTCCAAAAGCGAAATTGTATCTGCAGCCGTAGTAGATTTTGTGATTTTAACTTCTAACCACTTCCTGTAAGCATCAACAATTACTAGTAACATCGCCCCTTCAAATGGCCCTGCATAGTCAATATGAATACGTTCCCATGGTCCTTTTGGGTATTACCAATGATGACTATCGCATTTCATCGGCTTGTCTCGCGAATTATATGTTTAATTAAAACATATGTTTTTCTTTTTATTTAAAATATTTAGTAATTTAATATTTTTTAAGACATGGTTTTACAGATTGAATCCTAAGACTAACTTATAACTAACAACTTTGCTTATATTTATAGTGAGGATTCGAAGTATCGAATCCTGATAAGACAATTCGTTGTTTAGTTAGACCGAACAACGGATATAATATTTTTAGTTACAATGTTTATTTAGAGATTGTAAAGTATAATACGGTATGTTATTATAATATAATACAATGAGAACATTTCATTGTTTAGTTAGGCTGAACAGCGATAACAATATTTTTAGTTACAATGTTAGTTAAAGATAATAGAATATAATAAATTATAATGTAGATCTTTCGTTGATTGATTAGGTCGAACAACGATAATAAAATGTTTAGTAGGATGCAATTTAGATATTGTTTGATTAGGTCAAACAACGATAATAAAATATTTAGTATAAGGATAAGATAAGATAAGAGAATGTAACTCGCGCACCCATCACACTCGTTGGCCATATTCTCAATATCTTTGTCTATTCCTGGCCAATATATAAAAGAACGAGCAATGCCCTTCATCTTCACCATTCCTAAGTGCGATGTGTGTAGGTTCTCTATTAATTTTTGTCGATAATGTGGAGGGATAACGACCCGATGTTCGAACGTCAAGCACCCTGATGATAACACGTAACTCGCTTCTGGCGATTTGTAGCATTCTCTCTTTAAACAGCGGCCACTTTCCAGTAATCTGATTATCTCGCCGAGATGCTGGTCCTTTCTGGTTTCTATTGCAATACGTTCTGCTTTAACAGGCAACTGATTTATCTGGCAAATCATGAAATTATCGAACGCATCACATTCATCTGAATGAGTCGCTACTGTTTGTTGCAATTGATTTATTTGTTGAAGGGAAGCGCGTGACAAATAATCGGCATTTGCGTTTGCTTTTGAATTTTTGTATATAACTTCGTAATCGAATTCTGCGTAGTTAGCCATTCTACTTATACATAGTACTGGAAGCGATTTGTTAGGTTGAAGAATCTGTGATAACGGTTTATGATCCGTGATCAATATCCAATGACGAACATATAAGTATTTGAAAAATATTTGCTCTGCCCACACAATTGCTAGTGCCTCTTTATCAATTTGTGTATATCGCTGTTCCGTAACAGTCATCGTTCGACTTGCATAAGCTATTGGCCGCTCTGCTCCATTTTCTAAACGATGTGACAATACAGCATCTAGACCCGTTCGACTTGCGTCTGTTGCTAACATTACCGGTAGTGATGGATCGTACGGAATTAATATTTGAGGTGAAGTCAATATTTGTTTTAATTGAGTAAACGCTGCATATGCCTCCCCCGTCCAGCAAAATTCTTTTGTTTTTAGCATGTCCCGTAATGGTCACGCCTTTGTAGCCAAATTCGGAATGAACGCGTCATAGTATGTTGCTTTCCCTAAGAAAAGTTGAAGCTCTTCAACCGCTGATGGTTTGGGCACATTTAATATTGCTTCGATGTTTATGGGATTTATGCACTCCATGTGCATCAATTCGAAGACCAAGAAACTCCACGGATGTTGTGGCGAATACACTTATTCAGACGCAGACCACTTAACTTAATATGGCTTAGAATGGTTTCTAAAATTTGTAACAATTCGTCAAAATTTTTAGCATATACTAAGATATCGTCGAAAAAATTTAACACGTTCGTCATACCATACAGTACTGTTTCCATTCTCCTTTGCCATATCGTTGGTATATTTGCTGCTCCATAAACTGCACGTGTTGGGCGTACTAACCCATGCGTGATTGTGTTTAGAGTTAATACATATGCAAATTCTTCATCAATTGTAAGATGACAGAAACGATAGAAAGTGTGTCGTTACAGTGTATGCGTCTGTTACATGAAGATGACAAAATATTGTTGCATTTTCCATTTTATTAAATAAATCTTCCGCTTTCGGAATTGGATCTTCATCAATTATCATTTGCGGGTTAATTGTAGGTTTGTAGTTGCCTGTAATGCGAAAACCACCATTTTTCTTTGCAACAACATGCGTAGTCGAAGCCCATTCCGAATGATCTACTCTCTTGTAATATCCCAATTTAATTTTTCGATCAATTTCTTTGGCGTAAGCATCTTTTAATACTTGCAGTGTTAAGATGTACTTTAGCAGGCGGACCACTAAGCTTCCCGGCCGTTTCACTAAATATGTTCTTAAAACGCTCGATCAGTTGTTGGAGCCGCTCTCGCTGGTTTGTAGACAGTTCTCGCTCTAAGGAGTTTATTAAATTAATATGGTTGGACGAAGAAAAAAGTTCAGAAAAGTTAATCTCTCTCGCAAATTGTAATATCCATTCCCTGCCGCAAAGTGTATCACAATCTCCTTCCACAACATACAAACTTAACCGTCGTACTATTTTACCCATTGACGCGGATACTACAATCCCTTCAACGCAATTAACCTTATGATCCGAGTAGTTTGTGAATCGCCTATCACTCTGAAGCAACTTAAAATTCGGTCTTATCGATCGAAGAGTTCTGCAACTAATTACCGCGCATGAAGCGCCGGTGTCTAATTCCATTTGAATTTCCTTTCCACCAATTTTTACAGGAACCATCTTTCTTTCTACCGCCTTGAGTGTATTAATATTAAGTTATTTTTTGTTGAACTGGTTCGGGTTCATCCTTTGCTATTTGGTCCAATTTCGTTCTGCATACTTTGGCAATGTGACCGACTTTTCCACACGCAAAGCATTTGGACTTACTGAACTTGCAATTTTTTCTGAAGTGCTGACCACCACATTCATAACAATTCCCTGTTTTTTCTTTTGTCATCCCGCATCGCTTTTTCATGGTTCTCACTGAAGTTACGTTTTGTTTTTATTGGAGCGCAACCTAGCTTATATGTTGATTCACTTAGTTGCCCTAACTCTGTACCGTTGACGTCTGTTGTTGTTTTTTGCGCTCGCTCGATTGTATGCGCAATTTCATACGCTTCAGTGAAATTTTTTGGTTTTCTAATTACTATTTCATCACAAATAATGCGCGATTCAACCCCATATAGCAATTGCTCCAGCAGCATTCTATCCAAGAACTCTCCATACTCACAGAAACTTGGAAATTGACTCTCCCTTCTCTTGTTTAATTTGTCGGAACCTAATGCTTTCAGCATACTTATTCCGTGTACCATCAAAATGATGAATTTAAATATTTTTAATTTCGTTGTATGTAAACATATCAGGTGCAATTGGACTACCGAGAATTTTAAGAGCATCGTTGCGTTCTGCTCCCATGTATACACGTACATACTTCCCTTGTTCGTCTTCCGATATTTTGCTCAAATCTAACGCCCAGTCCACATTAATGAAATAATCCTGCACTGAGCATCCTTTTCCTAATTTAAATTCTGCAATCATAAATTTTGGTGGTTTAAATGTCTTCACTGAACTTGCGTGTGAATTTGTTAGATTGTTAACAGCAGCGTCTTGCACCGCTTCCGTCACCGCCGATCGAATCGCACCCGCGAGTGATTCCATCATGGTCTTCATTTCGCTTGCTGTGAGACTCATTTTTTCAAATCCCACTTCTGACACCACTTTATTTATTTATTCATTCAAGTTATAATATTTTCTTGATTTTACTTAATAACAAAAAACTATTTACATATATTACTCAGTTAAAATGATAAACTGTCAAACTTCATAAAATAGTGTTGCTAGTGTTGGTTCATACACAACAAAAGTCAATAAGATCAGGTATCTTACTTTGATCTGTGGGCCAATAAGTAGGTTTTCCCGTCGATATTGTTTCACAACAATGTAAGACGATCTAGTAAAATGAATTTCGGCTATGAGGCAAATATCAATATTTTTAGTATGGAGCAAAAGTTCAAGCTCATCTTTGTGTTTTAGAAGGTCGTTAGCGTTCCCTAACATTATCTTTATAGCTTTAACAATCATGTGGCTTTTTGGAGAGTATTTCTAGGTTTTTTAAACGCTTTTGAATTAGATTGTTGAATTCTTCTTGCTTATTTAATTTCTCCAAGATTTGCATAAGAATTGCATTTTCAGACTTCGGATTTGTGTTTCTAATTTTAATTATTTGTGCATAGGATTGCATTTTGGATTCTGTTTTTAGACAGGACTCTGTGAACTTCATGTCTTTTACACTCTTAACTGGAGTGTCACTTTCATGAGTTCCGCTATTGGTTAGTTGCTTTTGGTTTCTTTTAACCAATCTTGTCTTCTTATCTCGTATCCTTTGCAGCTCTTTGCTACCACAAATCCCTGATGGCTTGCTGGATGATTTTCTCCGAAATTACCGCATTTTGGTCGCATTGTTGGTGGTTTCTCACAATCAGATGTTGCATGCTTTCCAGCACAATTTACATATCCACGTTGTTTACCACAAAAGTTTCCTGTGTGTGCAAAACCCTGGCAATTTTTACATTGCTGCAAAATTTTCAATTGTTTAACTGGTTCTACAGCCACTATCGTATTTAAAATTTTTGATATTTTAAATTTTGTTTACGTCTTCAGACGCGTCGAACGAAACTAAAAACATGTTTAACGGTTTTTTAGTTTTCCATTTAAGTTTATTTACCGCTGAAATTGCATTTAAGCCCTGCTTTTTCAGATCTGTGACTACTGAGTCCGAGTCCCACGTACGATGGAAATTTTTTATGATGACTTTAGTAATCGGTATTAGTTGCTTATTTTCATATGAATACCATGATCTTTTGGTGTCGGAAAGCATTTTTGTTAAGATCCTGTAGTCGTCAATATTAAACACGTTGACTTTGAAGATTCCATTGCTAAGTAGTTTAACAAAAAATTGTTCTTTTACAATTTCAACAATCTTTGCATACATCTCTATATAATTGTCAACGTGCGATACCATTATAGGAGGAGGACGAGGTGTACGTTTGCCTAAAACGGTAGCAACATTTCTATCAGGTACTTTATTTTGTTTATCGTCGCTATTGTTTGCTACACATTCAGGTGAAGACTCAGCGTTTTTCTTCTTACTTGGTTTTGATGTTTTAGACTTTTTGACGATCGAATCGGTTTCCCAAGTTAATTCTTCCTCATCAATGTTTCGTACATAGGTTTTCTGCTTGAACCTTTTTTTTTGTGAGATTTACAGTGGTTTCTGCTGCTTTTAAAGAGAATTTTCGGATTTTAGTTGAATAACTTCTAGTCTCAGCTTTTCGCAAAGTGTTTTTAGCTCTCGAATTTCTAAGAACAGTTTATTTTCATTTTCTGTCCGTTGTTCGCGTTTGTCACATTCGTTTCCATCACCAGAAGGTGGCAAACCACCTCCCGCCATACTTGTTTATAGAAGAACTCTGACCAGTAGCGCACAATTTTCACAGTATAAAACAAAATTACGAAAATATAAATATATAACTTGTAGTAGAATTAAAGAATAAATATAAATGGCTGGCAACCCTATTGATGACTAACGAATGTAAAGAATGACAAATAAAGAATCAAGCAGTGTGTAATAAGAAACTAAATGAAGCGGTTGTGTTTTATTGCTACAATATCAGGTGTGGGGTAAAATTCACGTGAAGATAAATAAATTATTCTAGCGACAATAGCGTGCGTACAAATAAGAATTAAGTTCGCGTTAAATTGCGCAAATCTACAATATATATATTAATCAGTTTTAAAAAAAAAAAAAAAATAATAATAAAATAATGGCTGATGCCTCAAGAGCTGCAATAATCGAGACATTGCGAAATATGAATATTTCATTTCCAGACACAGCAACATTAAGTCAACTTAAGAAATTAGTTGCTGGTGTTATTGAGGAAGTGGACGAGCGGTCCGAGTCAACAATATTAGCAAATGCAACTTCAGAAATAGTAATAGCAAATGCGACTTCAGATGACAAAAGTGACGCCACCAATACATACAATAATAATGCCGCCATTGTGACATATACAAAACTCGATAAAAGTGATGCCAATGAAAATCAGTGCAGTGAAAATAATAATGCCGCCATTGTGACATATACAAAACTCGATAAAAGTGATGCCAATGAAAATAAGTGCAGTGAAACCACAGCTAAAATTAAACATGCTGTAAACACCGGCAATGTAAACACTTCAGTTAACACAGATGAACTTAAGTTACGAGTTAAACTGCTGGAAAATCAAATAAGAATTATGGAGATCCAAAATCAAATATCAATTAACTCTACCCAATATAAAGAAATAGAGCAAGTGTCAAAGAAATTCAGTGGCGATGATGACATGGACGTCATAACTTGGATTGTGGATTTTGAAAATATATCCGCAGTGTACGGGTGGACGGAGAAAGTTAAACTGGCTTTCGCTCGCCGAATGCTTACTGGCACTGCTGAATTGCTGTTGGGTTTTAC